TTTGACTTTTTGGGGAAAAGGATAAAAAAACCTATAATTAAGCATTGGGTATGAATTCTTTAGCATTTATTGATGTTGTTAAATCAATTTGGACTAGATACGAGTTATTTGGAGATGAATTCTAAAGGAAAAGAGGTGTTTGAGGCTTGAATTGGCTGTGGAAGTTTGAGGTATGTGTTTGGTCTAACCTTAGCTTGAGGGATTAGGAGTCGAGTCCTATTTGCTATGTATTATTTGTTGAGTACGACGTATAGGCATGGTGACGAGTATCTATACGTTGGTGTCAAGTATGCCCCGCGAGTCTTAAATTGACATTGTTGTGTTTTTTAACAAGTACTACAAATGCATAAGTTGTTGATTCTCTGTGTTGGACAAGAGTTATAATTAATCTCGTGAAAATTGCTTATGGTTGAATATTGGTTCTAGACGAGGGTTCTGTTGTGAAGCTAAAAATTGAAACAAGTTTGGTTATAGCTGATTTCCTTGCCGAGATATATTTACTACTTACTGTCGATTCCCTTGCCGGGATATTATCGTTTCCTTATTGTTCCCTTGCCGGGACTCTTTTGTGATTGGAGTTGAATTGTATGTTGAGATCGGGTTGCACGCCGCAACAATACTATATTTGGATCGGGTTGCACGCCGCAACAACACTATATTTGGATCGGGTTGCACGCCGCAATGCTATTATATTTAGGTCGGGTTACATGCCGCAACAATGTTTATATATTTGATTTGGATCGGGTTACGCACCGCAACATTAAAGGATGAAAGTGGTTATTGATTTGTTATGGTTTCCTTATTCTTTTGGCTGCGAATCTTAAATTGTTCTTTATGCTTTTCTCCTGAGTTACTGTTGGTAAATGATATTCCCCCGCAGCATGTTTTCCCCGCCCATTCTTAACTGTACATTTCTGCTTTATTTTCCACTGTATATGATATAATTGCACAGGTTTATTTGGTAGTCTGGTCCTAGCTTCATCACTACTTCGCCGAGGTTAGGCTAGGCACTTACCAGCACATGGGGTCGGTTGTGCTGATACTACAGTCTGCATTGTGTGCAGATCTCGGAGCAGCAACATTCGGACCTTAGCTTGGGTGACTGCCTTCAGTCCAGTCGGAGATTCCGAGGTAGTCCTGCATGAGTCCGCAGGCCCCGACGTCTCCATCTATCCCTTCATCCTGTTTCATTTACATATTTCAGAAACAGTGTATTATTCATTTTCCAGATCTTGTTTGTAGTAATTCTAGACTGTGCGTGAAGCGTGACACCAGTTCTGGATAGTTTTGTTCAAGAAATTATGTTGGGATTATTTAAATGGTTTAATAATTTCTTCCGCTTGTTTTAATTTTCGCTGTCTATAAACTGTTGCTTCACACTTGTTAAAGAATTAAAATGAGAAAAAGATAATTTGTGCAAATGGTCGGCTTGCCTAGCTTTTACTAGTAGGCGCCATCACGACTCTCAAGGGTGAAAAATCCGGGTCGTGACAGATGTTGTCGTGGTTGATGAGTTGCCAATTCAGCAAGAGACGTAAGATTTTATGCGAATTGTTACAGTGTCTTATACAGGTTGTCGTATAACTTAAGTCTTCTCTAAAACATATGGTAATTTTAGTTTTTTGTTTTTTAAATGTAGTGACAGTGTTGTACTTGTTGCAATGTTCGCGGAATCATTCATATGTGGACAAAACATGATGAAAAATGTATCTGATATCAATGGTCAACGCCTCAGGTGTGGGTCGTTAATGTGGGAATATGGCAGAATGAAGCAGGATCAGCTTGTCGCTAGTGATGCGGAAGTCCCTGGGAAATGAAACAGAAAAAGGAAACGTGTTTATTTATAAGAATAAATAGTAGCTCTACTCGGTTATGTAATACTGATCATGGTTTTCTCATATAAAACTCTCTTTTATCTTCCCGTGAATAATGTCCATGGACAAGCAATTATGCTATTGAAGTATTACTGGAATTTATTGGTTTGTTCTTATACCATTCAAGGATATATAGCAGGATATGATGTTTCTAAGATGGCTTTTTACTCTACTTATACGTCCAAATCAACTATGCTGCCAAACTATTACTGGAATTTATAAGTTGTATTCTGCTACCATTCATGAATAAGTAGCAGCGTGTGATGTTTTTTATGATGGCTTTTTAATCGTCTTATACACTTGGAAACTTTTCAGAAGAAAAGATTTATACAGCGATGGTGCTATATATGTTCCCTAACCAAGCAGAGTTTTTTTTTTTTTTTTTTTTTTTGGCATTTATAGTCTTTATAAGTTTATTTTCATGCTTCACTTTATGTATGTTGCTTAATAGATATTTGTTGCTTGGATTGCAGCATAATACACTGATATAGGTTGTCGTTCATCAAGTAGAGATCTTTTTGGTTGTGATACAAAAATATTTTAGCATTGATCTGTGCATCTCTTGGACAAGTACCTGAAAGGTACTTCTACACACAGATAGTATAAATAAAACTTGTATAGTATCACACCACTTAAAAAGATAATTATACAGTATGGTAAAAAACACGTGGGATTAATAACTTATAAAATGTACCTAACACAACATGTTAAAATAATCTAATAGTGGCAAAAGTTCTTAATAGAATCTTATTTCAAAGTACAACTTATACCCAAATCCCCTACGTGATTAACTTATTCATGAATCGCCTCTTTGGCTACTTTTTGAACAAAAGATTTCTACAGTAATGGGACTATAGTTTTCCCCCAAAGCAGCAGAGTACTTTCTTGTTGGCATCTTGAGTATTTATTGGTACTTGATAGTGGATAAATTGAGATTACTCTTCTACCTGCATAATAATAAGTATGGTTATAACTTATTGCTTTCAGTGTTTTTATAAGTGTTAGAAAATAATAAACAAAAATGGCTTTGAGGCATGAAAATCGACTGTCCTTAAAGAGTTATTGGCTGTATACTAATTTAGGGAAATACAAAACGATTCTCTTCAGGATACAATAAAGCCTGAAATAATACTTGTGGTTTTCTATACTACCTCGTTGGAAATTCTTGTATATTTATAGGCAACTACCAGACCCTTTCAGAAAAAATGTCTTGTTTCACAAACAGTCATATTCGGTTGGACCCTTTCATAACAAACATAACTATTTATTCGAATTTTGAATTTAAAATTTAAATAAATCTAATTTTTCTGTCACAAAATAAAATAATTAATTTTAGGACCCGACCCAAGTCCAAGTCTTTGATTATAATATAGAAATATATAGTGTACTTAATTGCACACACTTAAAAGTATGTGTCTTAAATGAAAGATATAAAAGGGACAAGTGCTTAAAAGGCTTCAAAATTGCCTTCTCTCTTCCGAAGTGGGATCAATCCAGAGGCGGATATAGTATATTACCAACGGGTTTAACTGAACCCATAACTTTCGATGCGGAGTAAAAATTTGTAAGTAAAAATTCATTAAAATTGCAAATATAGTAGATTTGAACCCATAACTTTGAAAATATAATGGGTTCAATGCTAAAAACTTTAAAATGGAACCTAAAAAATTTAAATCCTGAATCCGTCTCTGGATCAACCCACTTCCCAACTGGATTAACAAACTATCTTACAATAAGAAATCGATTGTATACAAGGGATAATCATCATAACATTGGATAACTTTATACCAAGAACAATTACAAACAACTCCATATTCAAGTACAAACTCTATATACACTGATGTGCAGATTTGGTGCGCGTCACATTTGCATCAAAATTGTCTTTTTAAAGAAAATATTTAAGTTGATATCGCGACGTATGTTCTTCAGATGCCCTACTAAGACAGAGAAATTCAACACATTTATAAACTTAAAGCAAGAAAGATATATCAATTAGTAGAATTATGCAATTCATGAACAAAGAGCTTTTGTGCAGATATGTCAATCCTCTTGCAGAGCTTAAAGCAGTTCTTATCCTAATTACCTAGCTTACTGGTGAATTCTCCAATCATCTAAGTCTGCCAGATATAGTCCAGTACATATTTGTATTTAGTAGTTCATTACAAGTTAAAATTTGCAGCAGTTCCCAACGACGACAACAACAACAACCCAGTATAATCCCACTAGTGGGGTTTGGGGAGGGTAGTGTGTACGCAGACCTTACCCCTACCATAGGGTAGAGAGACTGTTTCCAAATAGACCCTCGACATCTTTCCCTCCAAGAACTTCCCACCTTGCTCCTGGAGTGACTCGAACTCACAACCTCATGGTTGGAAGTGGAGGTTGCTTACTATCAGAGCAGTTCCAAACGAGATTTTAATAATTTTATTATACGGAATGGCAGCAAGATGCTATATAAAAATTAATCCAACATCAATAAGTCTAAGCTATTCCATTTACATGCTTAAATTCTTGAAACCCAACGTTATACTTAGAAAGATAGCAACTGATTTGGACTATCAAAGATGGATAACTCCCTTAATAGGCAACAATTGATGTTGACTATCAACTGTATACACTGTATTATGCCTGTAGTTGTTAGACAAACTAATGTTTTCAACTAGTGCTGAATTAGCTTGTAAAATACAATCTATTATGAGCTACGATGAGCTTCTGGAATTACAGTATAACCCACGGCAGCTCATACCATTCAAACTTGATACCATATATATGAAATTATATCCATATACACACATTATAAAACTGATCATAACCAGTATTAGTCCAGTGATTGTTCATAAATTATACATTTCGCCAACACATTTATTCACCATTTGACATTTGAAGATCATCCTTGTATAAACTTGTATAGTATTTGCTATCTATTTCTCTTTTGCGGGAGACCAATACGAAGCAAAGGACGTACCAACCAAATACGGAGATACCGATATTAAGATGCAGCCAATAGATTAGCCATAAAACGTGATGTATTTTTTTTTAATTAAAATACTGTTTAACCATAAAAAAGCAGATATGACCGCAGTTGTCAAACTAAATAAATATACGACTAGCAAACTATGAAAAGAGCTAAACATTCTTTGGAGGATTCCTGCAGGATTTCTTATTGTGACCTTGCTGCCCACACAAACTACATGTAATTTTACATCTTTTTCCCTGAAATTCACCGGCACCTTTCAGTCTAATCTTCTTTGGCCTTCCAGGTTTAACTCTTACTTTTTGTGGTTTAACGGCATCCCCTAAGACATCTCCAGAAATTTCCCATTGACTTTCATCAGGAATTGGATAAACCGGAACCTCATAGGTCTTTAACATGTAATCCTTGGTACAGTATCCCGAGCAATATTGGTATTCATCCATGTCGTATTTAGTCACAATTGCCAATGCATGCTCACATGGTATCATATCCATTTGGAACCTTCTGCAACTACATTGTCTTTTCCGCATGCACACCGCAAATCGCCTACCATCATCAATGACTGTGAACAAGTGTTCATTTGATAGTATAACCTACAATATATTTGATTTATTTTCTTCCCTTTTACTCATAAAATCCCCAATAATTATCCCCCAAATTATTGTTGTGGTGATTTAGTCATGTAAATCCTATATTTATGTCAAAATATTGTTGAAATATTTTTAGTGCATTTTTATAATTGTATTTTGCATTTTTAAAGCTAAATTACATATAATTGCAATATTAGCCTTATTAGTGTATAATTACATTTATATGCATAAGATTGATATTCTATATTTTTTAAAATATTAAATATCTATTTTAAATTATTTTAGTACACAAAATTATTTTTTAGAAATTATCAATTATTTATTCTAAATTATATGGGATTAAATTGTCTATTTAAAACATAGCCAGATTGCATTTCAATTTTAGCCCCAATTTTAACCCAACCCAGCCCAATTTTAATCAAATTACCTGACCCAAACCCTGAACCCGCCTACCCGACCCAGAACCAATTAAATTATGGCCGTTGATATGAGAGATCAACGGCCTGTATTAACCCTTGCCTTTTTTAACTCTAAACTACCCCTAACCCTAACTCATTTTCCAAATCCGCTGCCTCTGTATTCTCTCATCCCCTCTCCTCTCTCAGTAACTCAACCAAACCCTAGCCCTTCAAACCGCTGACCTCTCTTCTCCGGTCTTCTCCGGTGATCTCTCATTGACTCCTAAGCCTCCAATGGCTTCTCTAATGCCATGCTTGCCTTCTCTAAGATCTTCAATGGCCCAGGGCCACGCTGACTTGCATCTAGGGTTCGTCACTTATCTATTCTTGGCTACTCCAGTGTGATTTTGAGCAAAATCACGCCGTATTTATTATGATCCTTGGGATTCTAGACAAGTTCTTTCATCTCTATTTGGGTTTCTTCTGAAACGCTAAATTCTTACTACATCTCCTAGATTTGTACAAATTTAAAACGATTTGAGTTTTTTTTTGATGTTTTACACTATCCTTGGAACTCTTTTACAAGAATCGTTGATTTAGAGTGTTTTCACCTCCTTCTAAAAATTAGGGTTTCGGAACTTTTTTTAAAAAAACTTTGTTTAAACTCATTCTTTATGTTTAAAACTTCTATTTCTTGCATATTTCGAATGATTCTATGATTTTACTACCTTTTCAACTCGCCTATGTTGAAAGCCCTAATTTTCTAGATCTCTTCGTTTGGTTCTGTGTGTTAGCATGACTGACTGTTGTTTGTTTGAGTTTCCGTGACTATCTTGCTTCGAATATGTTCTACTGAGTTTTTAGCCTAACTTATATCACCTCTATGTGTTTTTGTTCATCTCGACTGGTCAATACTTGCCTCTTTGCTTGCTATGTTTGGTTACTCCTATCTCACTCTTTTTATATGCTAAAACTCTATCTTTGATTGACTATGAACTCCCTATTTCTTGGCTTGATTTGAAAACTTCCCTTTAGACCTTCGATTCTCCTGTTTAAACTTGGGAACCCATGATATTTTCCTTAAATCAGTAATTTCGAGTCTTGATTCACTGATTTACTATATGCTGATTTTCGATTATTTCCATATTCTGCAACTTTATTTTATTTTCTTACCTTATTTGGTTAACCGAGTATTTTACTTATTCTGTACTAGGTGTTTCCTTAATTGAACCTTATGTAGTTACTCCTAATTGTCTAACTTGTACCTGATGCCCTACTTGATTTCTCTGCTTAAACATTTTTTCTGCCCATTACCGTTGGTTGATTACCCCTTAATTAAATGAGTACTTGCATTGATTTGATTCTGATTAGTACTTGGTTCCATAATTACTATACTACTGTGATTCTTGCCTTATTTTACCTAGTTTCGAACTACTATATATACATACTCTCTCATTAACACAAACACACGAACGCTTTGGTTCAAAAGGCTCTCTCTCACACACTTAAACTTTCTGCTCTCACTTTTGTGCTACTCACTATTATTTTGAGTAAGCCGGCTGCAAGCCAAGGCTAACAATTGTGCTTTCCTGCTCCTCCACTTTTTGTTTACTATCTTCTTTACTGGTATGTCCTGATTTCAATTTAAGTCTAAAAAATAATATGTTTCTTTTTCTCCTTCAGTTCATCATGTTCCTGATTGGTTTCTACCTCTATTTTTGCTGTTAACATGTAATTAATCTCTTTATGTTAATTATATACTACCCCTTAGACTCAACATGTTTATGAAATGTTAAACCCCTTCTAGTGTACCCCAATATAACTCTCCCCTTACTAATGTTCTATGCAAAGTAGTTGGGCTATCCTTAAGTAACCTGATTATGTATTAATTCTGAAGCTCCTCAACCCTTTAGCATGTTGCTGATTCTGTACTTAAGTGCTCCTGTCACTATGTGTTTACCTATGTAACCTATGTGTCCCCAAATCCCTTGAACCCCTGTTTGTGATTGCTAAACCTGCTTTGGTTCTATGATCTCTGGCTGTGTAAGAACATGTTTTAGGGGTGCTATGTTTGGACTGCTATTTACTACTCCACTCTTTCTTTTCAAAACTATCTCTGTTCCCTTTTACAAAACTGTTTCAAACAAGTTCCTTTTTAAATTGTTTACCTGCTTAAATCTTTTCAAGCATTCTCTCATTTACTTTTAGGTTTTAGGTTCTGCCCCTCTAATGTGTGACTGCTTAGGGATCCCTATAAGATCCCTCTGAAATCTGATACATTAGAGCTGGCCCTTCCACACTGCACTTATTCAATTTGGTTACCCAGTCTAGGTGTGAGCACTGCCCGGGATCCTTGAGATCCTTAGGGAACTCTAACGCACCTAGACGATGGCATTGTCTATGGAATTTGGGTATTTGAGGCTATTGGAGGCTTTGGAAAGCTGGGCCTATTTGTAGGCTCTCTATAGAATAACTTCTTATTTTAATAACTTCTTATTTTCTTATCTACTTATGTAATTCATTCATATGGTCTGTAATAGTTTGTAAACGAATATTGGGGCAACTAGTGAAAAGGGTGGGTAGTTACATATTTGTGGGGTAATACGGGTGGAAACCATGCCTATAGGACTTTATATTTTGCTATGTTTGCCTTACCATGTTAGAAATCATGCCTATAGGTCTTAAGTGGTTCCAACAATAGAAATCATGTTTATAGGTCTTAAAATCAACTTCACAAGTAGATACCATGCCTATAGGATATAATCTAGTTCAATTTCTGTTATAATGAGTGCTTACATGTGCTTTCATTTGTTATCATGCATGCAATTTTCTAAAAAATCAGTTTCAAACAACTAGATATCATGCTTATAGGGAACATTACCAGAAATCATGCTTATAGATTTAAACCAATAAATCAACCCAGTCCACGATTAGTTCCCTTCAAAATTGGTTTAATTAGTGTTTTATTTTTCCCTGAAATGATTTCTTTCAAAAACTGCCTTAATCTATCACTAGACAACATGCCTATATAGATTCAAGAGTCTGTTTTAATATTTGCCCTGTTTTAACTATATAAACGCAATTATCATTATTCTGCGTGTAGGAAAACCTATAGGGCGTCTTCAAATCCTGTAACTCTGAAATTATTTCTGTTACTTAATGTTTTTCTGACTTTAACAGGCTTTAAAAATTAGTAGGAAAACTGATAGGGTCATTACTTCTGAGTTTATAAAATAAACTGCCTATCTTCTGTGTTTTGATATTCACTTAGACATCATGCCTTAGGATATTATTTAACAAAAGGACCTTACTTGTGCTTGAGTCGTGCTGCTTATGTGTATTGTTTGAGGAGGTAAACTTGAGCCTCTAATTGCTCCCTTTTATCTTATGTGCTAAGGTCCTAATTGTTCTTGCCTGTCACCTTAGTATTTTCACCTATAAAACCTTAAAGGTCTGTCTAGAACTACCTATAAATAGAGGTCCTAAAATTCCTCTAGGACCATTAAGGAGGGGTGGGTAACAGCACGCAATAGAGATCGCCAACCAACACTCGTTTTAATGACCACTAAAGGAGTGGGAAGGGTAGATATGGGATATGATGACTACGCGCTAATGTCACGTGTAGCCCTTATTGAGGAGTATTTACTGGACATTGTGTGGGGTGATCCTATAGGCTAACCAACCTAGGACTCCCCCTTTTCAAAATTCCTTTTGTTTAAACTTTTTTTTTATAATACAACTTGTTCAAAACCTTTGTCTTATTATTTGAGTTATACAAATGTTCTTCATTTGTAATTATTTGTTTCAAGTATTTATTTGTTAATGGACTAATTCGTAAATATAAGTTCGGCCGGGACCCACAGTTGTGAACCAAGAGGGGTGCCTAACACCTTCCCCTCGCGGTCATTTCGAGCCCTTACCCTAATCTCTGGTAATGCAAACCAATCCAAGAGTTAATCGCTCTAGGTGCCCTAACGTACCATAATCCATTAGGTGGCGACTCTTCAAATACCCAATTTCCAAAAGGAAATGAGTTATTACCACCCATGAATGTCGAAACCCGGACCTCTCTCTGCGGAGGGAAAAAAAGGGGGCGCGACAGCATTGCGACTCTGTTGGGGTTACCTTTAGGCTCTTACTATAACTAACTTATCTTTTTACAAATTAGTCCAAGCATGCTTTATCCCGTACCCTTCTCCCTTATTTGAATTTAACTGTCCATTTCTTAAGCATTTATGGTTCTTTATCCCTGAAACTGACTTGTTTCTTTGTTTTCTTTTTTCTGTAACTGTCTTTCAATTATTTAAATGTTGTATTTACTTTTCTTATGTGCAAATACTTGAATACATGTTATTAATTGATGTATTAATCATGCTCTGCATCATATTTCACTCGTGCGTATCAAATCCTATAGCAACGCTTTAATGAGTGATTGCGCTCTTCCTATTTACTACCCTTAAATTCGGAAAGGCTTATTTGCGGTAAAACCAGTCGATCAGTGGTGCA